AAGAGTGGTGAATCATACGGCGTCTTGGTTTCTTGTTATAGGCATAGGCATTGGACAAAACCAACCAACAACAGTTTGATCAGGCTAGGGGCATAGTCTGTGATGTCCGACTCACTTGAAGCTCTTGTGATAGTGATGGTTCCAGTCACCTCAGGGCAACTGACACGCGTGAATCAACAACATGGTGTACAGCATTGTCCCATGACAACTGGGATTTGCTGAAGGAACCCACATATTTGCTCTTAACTCTAAGCCAAACAAGGACAACCATGTGTTTGGACATGTTTAGACTGTCTCTCTGGACATGTTTAGACCATGTTTGACCGTGTGCCACGTTTGTTTGGCAGTCGGATCGCTAAGGTCTACCGTGACCACCAATGAGAAGTTCTAGTGCTTCGAAGACAAACACCTTTCCGATTAATCCCATACTATAATTCAACAGAAACGTTCACAAAGCACAATGATCTATCAACCTATATAATAGGATTCCAAAGGGCATCCCAGAACAGTACAGAACCACTGGCTGGCGGCACCGCACACAGGTGTGACTATCTCAATAAAGGCTTCACCTTCCAAAGCACCTGAGAAGGCTACAAACTAGTGCAAGACCTGGCCAAGCAGTTGTAAATTATCCTCAGATCCATTCAGATCCTCCATATTTCCAGTTCAAGACTACCTCAGGTCCTTCTCCCGATCAAATCACCCACCACCAGCCCGGCATCGTCGTCGCCCCGGCACGGAACCGGTCGCCTCCCCGTGCTTCTCGTCGGTGTCCGTGAAGGCGACCGCCGAGGGGCCCTCCACCGGCAAGTGCCGATCGGTGAAGGCCAGGCTCGAGGCCGTCGCAGCTTCGCCAAAGGAGTTGGAGCCTCACGACCGGTCGACCGAGGTCGACTCGTCGAGCTCTTGGGGAGTTAGAGCATCGGTGGGTGACCTGAAAAGGGGCCGCCAGGCCCGTAGAGTAGTGCCTGGATCGCAAGCTTGGTCAGACTTGGTCACCAGCAAATACGTGGGCATCAATCGGGCATCAAGTGGGAAGACAAGGCAGCTGCCATGGCAGGAGCCACGCATCCAGTCATGGAGAAGGAGAAGAACCCCTAGAGCCTTATAGCTTTAAATTAGCTATCTGGGGAATAAGATCATTGGGGAGGGTCGAACAAATCCTGCGATCGCCGACAGATCCAGACCTGAAGACTGGTCCGGTTCTCTCTTTTACGACTTCCAAATGTCAGTATAACTCTGAAGAACAAACATTTAGGGGGAACAACTTAAAGAGTTGAGTGCACTTCCTGAAATCCTCATGGAAGTGGACTTTGCCACCTGCGTGGGTTACTTCGGATGTATTCGGAAGATGATCAGCCTTTCAGGGCCATCCACGTAACTTGTAACCATGCATTGTTTGAGGGAGGATAAACTAATCCCATCCTATCCCAGCGGATCCAGTTACCACTACAGTAGTAGGTAACCACCTAGTGGCTGCCTGGTTCCTTAAACTGATTTAAATAGTGTCTGCCTGGGATCCACTGGGTATATGAAACCCACCCATGATGACAAGCTCTGAGCACCCAAGGCGCTATAGACGAGGAAGTGGGTCGCACTCGAGGGTACGAGGGTGTTCGCTGGAACGGTGTAGCTGGGTGGTAAGCCGTTGGCGGTCAGTTGGATAAAAGGCAAGAGCTTCACAGTAGCTGAAGAACCCCAGTAGACATTGTAGTTGTCGATATTTGCCTCTGAAGTCGCCTTCACGAATTGAAACACCCCCTCGATCTCTCCTAAATCCAGGTCTGTATCATAGAAGGAAACCAGTCCAGGTAGTTCCGTCGGAACTTGCGCCGCTCCCAAAAGAAGCGTGCTCCAAATGATCCAACTGACGTGGAGGCTCGGATGACTGCGATGGAAGATGGCCGGAAACAGATCCTTTTTCATGTGATCCGGGCAAAGCAGGAAAGGGATTGGGACATGACATGGCTGAATACTTGAGCCGTCTCATTGCAAGAGAAACCACCCCTTCTCATTCCGAATGAAGAAAGCTCGCATAATCCATGTGAACGAACCAAGGTCGCGACAGGTCGTCGACGCACGCGACGACGAAACCGTGTCTGAAAACGTGGAAACCGTGACTCTGAGAGACGCGGCCCGAGAAGCCGTCTGAAGTCTGAGGGACGGAAACCTATACAGAAATGCCTTTGTTACTAGTAGCTTCTTTTTCTTGTTACTACTAGTAAGGCACCTGTTACTACTAGCGTGGCACTTGTTCCTAGGAAGAACATGGGCTTTTTCAAGACAGCCTTCCTGAGAAGAGACTAAAACCATCTTAATGACAACTGTTCTCTGGGAGCAAGCTCCGAACTCTCCAGTCCTCGGGTTTGTCGTCTCCTCGGACAAAAAGGAAAAGAACAACAACACCAGTGGCCAAGGAGGCGGAGCTTCGACGGAAATTCAACCAGACTCGCGTCGAAGAGCGAACACACTGCCGGGGAGGGTGAAATGGTGCTGTGACGTTGATCGGACGGTACTAAGACCCGCGATAGGAACAGATTCTTTCATGCGCTTCTCTGGCATTGCCGTAGAACATTGCTCCAAGGCTCTAAGTGTTGGCTTCGACTCAATCAGTCAAACATGTCAAATTAGTAAAACAGTCAAACAGTATCACACAGTTAGTCAAACGCTGTCAGCATAAAGACTTCTAGAAGAGTACATTGCAAAGGTGGTTCTTTCAAACACTTAGTGAGTGGACCAAGGATGACTCTCAAGACAAACCATCTCCACCATCTCTTTGTGCTAGTGAAAGTGGGAGCAACAGTTCAAAAGAAGCCAGTGAAGGTGTTGTGTTTTCACTGATTTGCTCTCCGCAAGCTCAGTACTTTGTACTGAACACTCTGTACTTTGCAGAGTGGGGACAAGACGTCAAACATCACATCCACGTCCGATCGTCTCTCGACCCGCCCGCGATGGACATGGTCCCTGGTGGTGTCAGGTGTTGGCCCTCACGGAATCCGGGCTCGTAGGACTTTTAAAGTCAGAGCGACCTCGTCCGGCACTTGCAAGGCGAGTGGTCCGGGATGGACGAAAGGGACGACGAACTGAAGTGTTCGTTCATGGAGTAATCGGTGGCCAAGTTGTGGGGTTGGTTTTGTGGGAAAAGAGGTCCACGCCGAGTTGCAGCTCCTTTCAACATCAATGGAAACTACTCTGAAGCGAACACCCTCCGATGAAACATCTGGATGCCACTCAAAAAAACCTAATTATACTGTATACTTCACACAAACACACCAGAAAGGGTTCTAGGGTTTTGACCCACTGCCTTTTACTTCCTGATAGGTCCCGGCCGTGGTGAATGCACAGCTTCCAACAACTGCATGGTGCGTTGACTCACATCAAGCGATGGTGGATACCTTTGCACATCTTTGTTCGATAGCTGCCCTTGACTTTTAACCCAGTCAGGTTCACACGATACCCTGAACTTTCAAAAACCCTAACCGACGATCTAAAAGAATAAAGTGATTTCGGATGGTTTCGGAGTAAGAAATCCAGAACTACTCCAACTAAAAACGATCTACACCACAGTAAGTGATTGAGCTAGGCAACTGTGCCATCTACTCACCAGGTCAACTTAGTGAGATATGTCAAAGATTCGCATGCCTGCAGCCGTTGTTCCTCGTCAGCAAAGCCCAAGTAGAGTGGCTCCCTGTGAAGCATGAGTCGAATCGGGTGTACCTCGAGATTCTCCATTATGTTTAGCCTATTTATTTTACGGACAACCCAAGAACCCAAAGGATGAACAAACTTCCAATACATAGCAACATGTTTCAACGGGAACTCAAAATACCTCCAGAGTCCCCTACCATAAACATCAAGAATTGCACATAGAGTGCAAAGTCACCTTCTTTAGCTGGTCAAGAAATGCGCGGACGGCGGAGGGTCTAAAAAAGTATGCATACCAGGATCCTTTAGGCCTAATGGGTACCAGTATGTCTTGACCATGCAATTGCTTCACACCCGCATCTAATATCCTAGGTAGCTTGGAATACGTTTGACAAACATGGACAGTTGTCGAAGCGGGTGGAATCTGGGTATTGAAAGGATTGTTAAACACTGCAACCAAACACAACAGTCAGTCAGTCAGTCAGTCAGTCAATTGTCTTTTTGCTTGTACTTTGGACAACCCATGCAACTTGCTGGACACTTTAAGAAGAAACATGACCGTCAGTGTGAAGTCCTAGCCCGGAGGGACCTTTTTTGCAGCCGATGTTGGACGTGCCTGCACAAGGCATCGCTGAAGCGCAGGACGAGGACGTTGGGCTTCCCCCCGAAGCTGAGATCCACCACCTTCATTCGGCTGTCAGAAGCCCCAAGAGCCCAAGGACTCACCTGTCCGTCCGCCTAAGGGGAGGTAGGTTAGTGACTGGAGGGGTTAGGACGGACCAATACGGTCAAAAGGGATGCCTTTCGGACTCCCAGGTCCAGTACGGTCAAATGGGAAGGTCTTGCGCCGTCCGACCCCCTTCGGACCCTCCAAACGGCAGAGGGCATGAGAGGACACGAGGATGGGGTTGCACGAGGAACCAATACCATGCCCTTCTCGGTCCGTCTTGGGTGTTGGTTTTGAGGTCCTCGCTTGTGGGAGCCGAAACTATAGTAGTAAGAATGCTCCTATAGTAGCAATGCTAGGAGCTACTAGTGGCCATGCCCTTGTTCCTAGTAGCATTTTTTGATATTTTGTTTTGGAGACTCCAGAGGCAGTGGACGCCTGATCCACTTTAGGGGTGCACACGGTGCGCCTGCTTGGTGGCGGCTCCGCACTGCTGTGTGAGGGTCACTGGAAGCGTCCGATTCGTCAGCGATCCATCTTTATGCATGCGACTAGGCCGGTGTCATCGCGTCGTCGAGTCAACCATATACTGACAAAGCACGAGTCAACCGTTCGAAGGTTCCGAGTCGTTCCGAGCCACGAAAACAACGTCCGTTGCAGTCCATGTGTGGTGTTGTCGTTGTTGGCGTGTGGGAAAGAGAGCCGCCAACTGGGCAAACCGGTGCGTCTTTGGTACAGCAACCTATATATGCGAAAGCTGTTCCGCCGGGCCCTACTTGGTGTTCGGGAGGTTGTTTGCATCACACTGACACTGACAAATTGGAGAATTCAGAACGAATTGTCCAGGCTACAGGATTGTCTGTGCTACAGAATGGAATTATAAGTTTCAGAACGAAGAGTTCTGCCGCCGGCACAGCGCCGCTACACTTTGCCAGATTGCAAACCACCACTTGAATCCACTTGACCACATGAGGTATCAGCAAGTCGCCCTTCTATCACTTGACAAATCATCACACCCTTCCATGACACAAACGTGTTTGACACGTCCAACTACCCTCGGTCTGCTGACCCCGCTGGCTCCACTTGGTGAATCATCGCTCCACTACCCCGTGGGCGCCATGGTATACCTGCTTGGAACTCGGTGGCCATCCGTTGCCTCTGGTTACAAGTGGATCACAACTTCAACCACCCCATGTCCCATGTGGCTTAAGCCTACAACTTGCCGTGCCTTTCGATCTTGAAGCCAAATTGGGTGCGTATTTCAATAGGGAGACCTCCAAGCGCAAACCAATGAGTGCGGTAACTGTGGCCCTTTCTTCCAGTGGCGTCTTTCAAAGGTCTCCCTAAGCCCAAGTTCACCTCTAATCTAAGTTGATGATGTTTCGCTTTGACAATGCAATTCTACTTACCACTTAGCTTGGAAGGGTCCTGGCACTTTCCCGTGCTCGAAATCTGAGGGTCAATCCCGCCCCAACTGCTCGAGAAAGAAACAGGCGCTGGGGCTGGGGTGTTCGCAAATTTGTAGACTTGCTTCTTTTGACTGATGTGTTTCCGATTTCTTCTTCCCTCAACATTTTGACAAGCCAGTCTAGGTATACCTTCTGAGCAGGTATTTGGAGCCTGCGGTTTGGAGAAGATCTCGTCTTCTCCACCTCACCAGCAAAACAGCGCATGTTTTTGAGACGAACACAGGCTTTGTCGGAATCACAGGAGAATCGTGTGCTGCAGACGGCTGGAATTGCTTGGCAAGTTCGGCCGCCAGGGCTATGTGTATCCCAGGAGAGTAGAGGACAAAGAGTCGGAAGAGTTCCAACATGGGGGTCATGGCACCCAAAGACCTTGCTTGACGATTCCCTCATGGTCCTTCCCTTTTCTACGGCCTCATGCCATTGTAACGTAGCGTAGCTACCCTCGCTGAATCTACAAACAAAATGCGATCCAATGCGGCCAACATCGTGTGGTTTTGCGTCGCCATTGATCCACAGCCACAGTGGCCACAGCCTTTACATCTTTTCCAGATTTGTTCCATCTTCGTCCTCTGACTCAGGATGATCGCACCCCTTCGACCGATGAACAACTCCGAATTTGCTGGTCACACGATTGGAAGGAGTGCCCAGGGCACCCAGTGCATCAAGGACAACTAGGGCAAGCTTCATACATCTTCATACTTCATCATTTTCACTGGGTGCCTCTGGTGTACAATAACCATAACTAACTTCTGGCTGGATCACCAGGAACTTCTCTACACCACGCTGCAAGCTCTTGAACGAAGCAATGCTGGGCCATGCTGCTTTCTTGGTCACGAAGACAGCAACAGGACGCTTGATGCAAAGACCCCGAGACCATCACGAAGAGTTTTGAGGTTTTCTGGTCTCCCCCAAGAACTCCACCTGCCTCCCTCCGTTTTTTCTGGCGGTTACAGTATCATTCCACGTTTCCTGGGTATACGTGTCACCAACGCTGGGATCGACCTCAACACGTCAGACACCTGTGTTCGTTTCCAAATTGTCACAGTAATTCAAGGGTGTATATCTCACAGATTCTCACAGGTCAACTTGGTGAAGCTTACTAAACCAGCCCTAGTTAACTGCGGTGAGGATCACATCCCTTGGGACCCTGGTATGATATCACACGCCCTAGAATCTAGAATACCACGCTGGGGTGTGAACACATGTTAAAACTTCACATGGCCACATGGGAGTATTACTGAGAGACTATGGGAGTCATGATTTCACTAATGGATTTCAGTGGTCTCCGGTGAATCTCTCAAACCTCAAGCAGCTTTGTCACGCGCTGCCGTGACTGTCTTCGGACTCACTGCTACTGTCGCTGGATCTGCCATAAGCCTTCGGAGGGCTATGGGCAGAGCTCGCGGTTCCACGAAGGCGCCATGCGCGGCAGGGGCAATGGAGAGCCAAGCCCAAAAGGCCGGAGATCACCACGCACAGGATCCAGACCTCAGATCCAGTTCGCTCAGACCGGGGTATCCTGTTTTCAATCCCCGCACCAGGTTGAGATGGTTGAGACAGAATGATATTGGGGGCGGTTTCTTTGACCTCCTCCCTCACGAACGGTGTCTTTAGATGTCACATCTGCTGGGGTCGTATTGAAACGGGAGATCTCTGCAAGTCATCTCCCTGGGCCTTCAACAACCATTGTTTTCCACTAAGGATTTTACACAATATCACCAGCTCAACAATTATTGTATAATATAGTATAGTATAATGGTCTTTGAAGGCTAAGGCTTAAGGATCTGTTTCCATCTGTTTCCGCTGGTGCTTCAAAGACGTGCAAAGAAAGTCATAAGCTCTGGGAGGCTGGGATCTGCTGGGCAGCAGGAAACTTTTGGTCGCTGCAGCGGGTCATGATGTCAAGTGAACAAAGTCGGCCAACATCTAAGATCCATCAAAAGAACACGTGTATTGTGTGTGTCTCGAATGGTATCGAATGGTGCCCTGATCCCATCCTCAAACAAACATGTCCAAAATCTCTTACAAAGAACAGAACACCAGCAGATCGGAACCGAACCGCCGCAAAGGCCTTTTTTTGAGATTATATAAGTCTCGTTTACTTGAAGGAAGCGCCTTTCAGAACCACAAGCAACATACCTTCAAAAAAGCAGATCAAGATCTCCTTTCACAAGCGTCCAGGTGACTGACCCGGTGTCTTCCAGAGGAGTTCCACGGAAGGTCACGATCAGCAAGGTCATCATCCAAGGGTGAAGCCTCAGAGGGTCCGTCTCGACGACCAAAACCTTTCGCGTCCGGGTCGGTCAGTCCGTGTGGGTCGACCTTTCGCCCGCCCCAAAAAGGAGATACGATATCTGAGGGTATCAAGACCGGTCATGGATCTTGGGAGGCAAGATGCATCCGATCTCTTTCCAGGCATCTTTGATGTGGGAGGTTTTGGCCTCAAAACAGTGGTGATATCTTTGCTGTGAATCTAGGGGCATCTATATAAGGAATTTGTGTGCGAGTTGAGGATTGGTTTCAGGTTTTCGAAACAAGCTTTGGCAAACAACTTGCAGTCTTTTGACGTTCCATGTCAAGCAACATCGTCTGTCCATGTCTATCCCTATCTGTTTGCACACCAACTGCACAAACCATCAAAGCCTTGGTCACCCATTTGCTCAATCGTCTTCCCTCAGCTTTCCCCCAACATACAAGTTCAAACGAACCCAACAAACCAACAAAGAGCGTCAGGCACTTCGTTTCAGCAGGTCACAAATAGAGCAGCAAAGCGCCATAAGCCATGAAGGGGGGCAGTGGCCGACACTCCATCACACGCCCCAAGCGAGCGACCACAAACATGATGATGACGGCTCCGGCCACATAGTCAACACGATCCAAAGCACGGGGGTAGTAGGGATACGTCAAATTTCCTGACGCTATGACGCTATGTGTCACCAGGTGGAAGTTATCGGTGAGGAACCAACCTCCCTACCACCTCTGTCAATCCGTCACCTCTGTCAATCATTTCAGCTGTGGAACGTCGGGTCACGAGCACCGGGGACACCAACTGACTTCAGCAGGAAGCATGCTCCAACTCGCTATGGTTGCCCATCAACCCTCTAGTTCACATGTATGCTCGATTTGATGAAGACCGATTCAGGTAGGGGATTCACCCAGGAACTGGGCAACCTCACCAAACCAAACCGCCGGGTCACCCGGCTTTTTTCAGGGATTCAACCTGCATGGGGATCTGTTCCTTCACGACGGACCTATGTGGGCAAGAACGAACTACTAGTAATGGCCTACTAGTAGCTTCTTGCTCCTAGTAGTAAGGCCAGGAGCCCCTAGTAGCGTCCTTGCTCCTAGTAGCGATGCCAGGCCCCTAGTGGCGTCCTTGCTCCTAGTAGCGATGCCAGGAGCCCCTAGTGGCGTCCTTGCTCCTACAATTCCACAGAACCCCGAAGAATTCCACAGAACTTGGTCCTGCTGCATACCAATTGGTTGAGGGTGCCGTGAGTGTTCGAAGGATCACCATCATAGGCCAGTAGAGGCTCACCTCAGTTTCAGCCTCTCAGTAGAGGCTCGCCATTGATTTTTACTTATTGACTTATACTGCAATTGCCTTTTTGGGTTAGTGATCTGTCTAAAATCGAACTGTATCATGTTCAGTATATGGGGTTATACTAAGAATGCGTCAAAGCCTGAACAAGAAGTGAGGTAGAAAAAACATGGTACGAAAATCATGATCCCAACAGCAAATCGTATGATTTACAAGCGGCGGTCTTCATATGTGGTGATGGCGGCAACCATGGTAGTAGCAGTAGTAGTAGTACCAAAAACAATAAAACATCAAAAAACACAGCAGTAGCAGCAGCAGCAGTCGGAGTAGGAGTGCAAAGGAGTAGGGGTAGGAGTAGGAGGAGGAGGAGTAGTAGTAGCAGAAGGTAGAAGGTAGAAGGTAGTAGGTAGTAGGTAGTAGGTAGTAGGAGTAGAAGAAGTAGTAGTAGTAGTATTAGTGGAAGTAGAAGTAGTCAGTAGTAGTGGTCATTCTGACTGACATGCGGACGTCGTTCAGAGGTCGTTCATAGGTCGTTCAGAGGTCGTTTTTTCGCCGAGAAATCTGGCTCAATATTGTCCATCGAAAGTGAGCAGCAGCAGCAGCAGGAGCAGCAGCAGGAGAAGTAGTAGTTAATAATAGTAGCAGTAGCAGCAGCAGCAGCAGCAGCAGTAGTAGTCGTGGTAGTAGTAGTAGTAGTTGTAGTTGTAGTTGTAGTTGTAGTAGTAGTCGTAGCAGTAGTAGTCGTGGTAGTAGTAATAGTAGTAGCAGTAGTAGTAGTAGTCATTAGTAGTAGTAGTAGTCATTAGTAGTAGTAGTAGTAGTAGTAGTAGTAGTAGTAGTAGTAGTAGTA